TCCAACAATTGAACTATGCAGTGGTTGAGCAAATTTTTCTTAAAATCTGCATCGATCTGACAACGCTCGTGTGCCCGACAATGATTCTACTTAAGGTGTGTCATCTGTTCCATCACTGGAACATTACTAAGTTTCTGGTGTCCCTTTGCTAATTTGCGAAATGTGGGGTCCACCGTAGCCTGAGTCTCGTGTGAACAGATTTGTGTTATTTGGAGTTCTGGTGTCCATGCAACTAAACGTTGGTGATTAGATTTTATATAATCAAGTGTAGATTGTTTGGCTTTAAAGTGGCTTAACACCTTATAAAACCAACGAAGACTCCATGCTTCGTCGACACCCGAAATCTGCGCATTCTTAAGGGCTTCTCGCAATGCCCCTTTAGTGTCGCGCTCCATAATGTTGCTGAGGTTATACCAGTTCGAGGGCCACTCCGGCCAACTACGTGGTTCCCGTGGTTCCTGTTTGTTCGCCGGTCGTGAGTCATAGGTTGCTCTTTATGTCTCGAGTACACCTCTTAGTGCCTCCGCTCGTGGCAAGTTGTTGGCTTCCACTGCACTACATGATTCCTCCGACAATTTGAGCATACGCGCGTGCAAGGCTTGGCGGTCCGCCGCTATGCTGTCTGGTGTAGGAGGTGTGGCCTGCTGAGCCAAGCGTCGACGCTTCTCCGATGACGTGGCTTAACTCGACGGTGTGCGTTCAAGCAGCCTGCGTGACGGTAGACTGTCATTCATAGCTTCTCATACAAATTGTTGGCTTTGACGTTGTGCTTGTAAAGACGTGTCCATGTTGTCACGTCGATTATCCAGTGCCTCCCTCCCGTGAGGATTCTGTGTAGCTCTACGTTGTTCCTTTGCAAAGTTTTGACGAGATATCGTTTCCTGTTGTGTATCGCTTTCGTCCTGATCCGACGAAGTGTACCTTAACCCACGACGGGCATCGTCGGCTCCTCTAATGCGGAACTCGATGTTGTCCGGTGATGAAGGTGTGTTCCCTCGTCACAGTCGACGCAAACGCCGTTCATATTTCTCTAATAGCGATTGCTGTCGCCGAAGTAGGCTCGTCATTTGCTCTGGCATGTCATCGTCTCTACCTCGGCTCTGTTGTCTCTCTTTGATATGATAACGAGGGCGCTTACTTGTTACAGCCTGTAATGCCTCTCGAGGAGCTGTCCCCTCCTGGTAGTGAGCCTGCGACGTCGAATGTGGCACTCTCATTAGTTCGGGGGTACGTCGTTCACGATCCGTGAAGTCCACGTCACTCGGAGTGGTTATTCGCCCGTCGCGTTGTTGTTGTGCTGTAGTGTCCGCTGGAGTATTGTTTGGTTAGTTCGACGTTCTGACTCTAAGTCCTCCTACACTTCTCCACCCGTATCTACTCGATCATGAGTACGTCATCGGAAACCTCGTTGATGGATGTCATCCCGTTCACGTTGTTCTGGGGATAGCTGTTGCTGCCGACGACTCTGTCGAATGTTAGCCATGGTTGAAGTAACCTTCTGTTTGTCTATTGATAGCAATGTGATGTTTCAACTTATTTTCCTTCTGACTTAAATAGGCATTCGACTGTGAATCTCACGCCTACTAATTACTCAAAGCCCCATTAACCATTCTCCTATCAACGTGTTCTTGTACCCCTGCCTGGGTCTTGTTGCACTGAAATCGTCCGCTCATGAACCTCGTGCTCCAGACTACCCCGGTTATCCTTGCGGTTGCTCCTTACTCCTTCCGACCAACCCCGTACTCTCGATACCCATGCCATTTCTCGTTTTGTGGGTTCTCTACTCCTCATATTCTTGCTCTATTGTTCCGTACACATGTCTCTTTGCTACCGACGTTCTCCCGTTTCACTTTCGGCTCTGACCCTAGTTAGTTGGCTAACTTGCTGCCTATCGTCGTCGTCGCTGTGTCTTGGTGCTGCTCGTTCTCACACCACACTTGTCTACCGTAACTCATACGGTATATTCATATTCACATTGAAATCGACGAATTTGGTCGGACCACTCGTATGCACATTTACAATACTCACTCCCTCGTGTACTCAATTTAGTACTGTGTACACACACCCTATCGTTCTATGTAGCGTCGTGTCACTCCTATTGTGTTTGTATCTTTTATCTTATGTACCCGAACTTGCTGTATGACTGTCATTGCATGTGCATCTTACTTCAGTGTCTATGTGCGCATGTCATTTCTTTGCAAACCTATGTCTTCTACTAATAATCTATTTAGTTTACACCTGGTTACTTGAGTATCTATCCCATATCATTCCTCTCTCTCTTATTCCTGTACCCAATTTCTTACATACCTTTTGGATGCCTGTACACACGTGTACTTCGTGCTCGTTGCCATGGCGATGCTCAAACATATACACCTACTTGACTTCTTTTTGTTTTCCTTGACCTTCTGATACCGTCTACAGTTCGTCCAAATCCTCCTTATTCTTCTGGATATCCTTCCTGATTTGAGTCGATTCTCGTTCCGGTATCGATGCCCATGGCTCCGTGCGCTCCTCTTGTCGCGGCATGGTCCGTAAAGTCCACTTTAATGTGATCGTCGGATTCCTATTCTCTTGTTCCCACACAACATTTTCTCTGTTGCGATTATCCGTTGTATTACCTATCGTTGACGTCCTTAGGGTCTCCTGACTGTTAACTTTTATGTCCTCTAGTCGTCTTCCTCTCTCATCTAACCTGTCTACCTGTCGATGTACATGAGATTGTATTCTACGGTTGTGTTGATCCACACGGCTCGCCTGCCCCTGTATAATTACGGTTCCCTCCGTCATTTCATGTTCTGAAGCACTACTGCTGTTTAGTAGAAGTGTTGGTATGCTATTGCTTGTATCGCTACTAATAAATACACTCTCCGTATCATGTAACAATGGTTGGGTCGTGTTGGAAATCATCATTTCAGTGGCTGATGTCTACTGATGCCTAGGACTTTCTCTCTTCTTTATGTCATCAAAATTTTCTACTTCTATCTGTGGACCTTTCGGTCCTATTATCTTCTTTTCCTATATAGGATAAGCTCAATTAATGTACAACATCTAAGGCAGTTAAAAATGTAGTAAGCAGTCGAGGATAACTGTATCTCAACGTACTCCCCTCGTACAAAGGGAGACGATGTTCATTTATTGAACTAAATCCTGTGACTATCATTTTGGTCATGTGTTTTCCGTTAATCAGTTTTAACCTGATTGGATAAACCCAGTTCAAAATGTAGTCTCTAATAAAACCCAAATATCAAATAAACCCTAATTCTAAATAAACCCTATCAGGGACTTCCTGACTACAGATCAAACACGATTGGATATATGCATTGCTGTTTCGATCCTAAATCGCTATCTGATAGCACCACAGTACCACTACTTCAAAGGAGCCAAGCGCTGTTTGGGGTATCTCGCTGGTACTCAAGACTTCGGCCTCGAATACACGAACAACGAACCATGTATTCTCTATTTGAGTGCAGACAGTAAAACCCACAAATCTTCGGCGGGTTCTACTATGACCTAAACAGAACCTGAGTTCAGCGGCTGCCAAACAACTCGTTCCGCCCACGTTTGACCGCCCAAAGCAATGCTCAAATGTTCGAAGATATTGCGTACCAACGACGGTCTCCGCGCCAACCCAGCATACCGGGTGCCGATGACACAGGCGCCACCCTCACTGGCTACTTTGAGGACCTATTCAACTCTACAAACCCGTACGTGTTTCTACCGAATACTGAACCCTCGCCCGATGTAACTTCCGCCATACGCCCCGACGATGTATTGGAGGCTATACCACGCTATCCCAATAAGGGGCCTGACCTCCTGAAGGCCGCAGTGGAGCGCTCCACCAAACGCAGGACACTAGGACGCCCAGACGTCAATAGCCCACTGATTAGACTCCTTGCTGAAGCATTCACTGAGCTACTGAAGGCGGGTACCTTCTCTGCAGCCCTTCTCTGCAGCCTCCTGACAACGCACCCAAAGAAAGCCGATGCAGATATCACCTCCCCCGCCGACTTCCACCCTATCACGCTTACGCAAATAGTCTATACTACGCTATCCCAATAAGGGGCCTGGCCTCCTGAAGGCCGCAGTGGGGTGCTCCACCAAACGCAGGACACTAGGACGCCCAGACGTCAATAGCTCACTGGTTAGACTCCTTGCCGAAGCATTCACTGAGCTACTGAAGGCGGGTACCTTCTTCTCTGCAGCCTCCTGACAACGCACCCAAAGAAAGCTGATGCAGATATCACCTCCCCCACCGACTTCCACCCTATCACGCTTACGCAAATAGTCAGAAGCATCTTTGAGAAGTGGTTTCATAAGCTGATTACGAGCCACCCCGGTTCTGCTACCCATGCTACCCAAGCTGGCTTAAAATCACGATACTCCTGTCATACCCAAGCACTCGCCGCCATGGAATCTGAGAAACAGTCGGAAGAGGAGTGGAACGACGTCTGTCTGGACATTACCAAGACATACGACAAGGTTGCTCTCCCACGCCTATGGGTACTCCTGCGCCACGCCGGAATGCACGAAAACTGGATCAACTGGCTCCGCGCGATAATTGAGAGGGTTCCTACCCGAGTGACATACCGTTGCACGCTCTCGCCTCTATTCCATAGAACGAATGGCATCCTACAAGGCTCAATCGTTGGCCCCCAGCTTTTTATTATTTACATGGATTCCTTAGCGGTCACACTATCACAATTTTGGCACAAGCTCCTCCGCTCTTATTTGTTTGTCGGCGACACACGGATCCAAGCCCCCCAACCGGTTCCGCTCCAGCCCTTCTTAGATGACATTGATGGGCGGGGACGCAAATCTGGCCTCGAACAGGGTGTCATCAAACCCCGAGAATGATCTACCGACTTGCGACACGCGGCGCCAACCCTCCGTATAAATGGTGAGCTTATCACGCTGACTCTCGCAGACGCACCTTGAAACACACGTTACCTCCCTCTGAAGATGGCGCCCACACATGTCAAGCCGAAACGCTCCAAATATCTGGGGTCCCCACTCTCTCACGTTATACAAGGGATCGACTTCGCCAGACATATGTAATCCCTGGTTGCAGCATTGTCCCTGGGTATCACCTCTTTCCACGCTTATGGCTTCCATGGCTTCAGCTGGCGACAACCCTGCAACCGACTGGTGCTGTTCGAAACATTCATCATATCCACGGCTACATATGGCCTGAACATTATTGCCTGGGCTCCACCTATATGGAAGGATGCCCTGGACCCCCTGTTCGAGCGCTATAACTCAGCACTCATCCAGGCAGCAGTCACCATCAAAGGCACTAAATACCCTAGGTTTCCCAAACATCAAACAAACGTACTCCACTTTTGTGGCCTGCTCCCCGCACGACCATTCGCGGACTACCTCGGAGGTTGCCTGGGAATACAACTCGACTCAATGGCCAGCACAAATACACTTACCCCTCTGACGCAACCCGCCTGGGCTCATGACAAACCATCACTGCGCTTCCTGTACAGTATCTAAGCCCACCTGAAAACTGTACACAAAACCACGGGCGGGCGTACACCCGACCAGCTCTCCACCAACGCTGTGACGACTTCAGAAGGAACTCATCAAAATGCTGGTCCAATAAGGAGATCGCGGCAATGGCCCGGCGCCAATACTACTACCAACTGGTAATGGGTAAACCGCCAACCTTAAATCGAGACAAAGCCAGACACGACAGCTTCAACCGCTGATTCGAGCCTACACCCATCCGGCTCTGTGCTATGATTTTAACGAATACGTACATGTTCACATTGATCGACTACCGCACTGACGGTTGTCTCTACCCAGTCTGCCCCGGTAGCCACAAATTCACCACTAGCCACTTTACCTGCATCCAACAATTGATCCGACGCATCCTGGTAAGCCTGAAACTGCCACCCATTGGCCCTGACCTCCTCAAGCAAATACAAGAGCGTCACGACTTCCACGGTATCTGGACCCTCCACGAACACCTTGGATTCTTTCTCCAGCATGTAGAACAACCACCGTACCCACACCCGTCTCTGACACATTAATAGATGTTCCCCATATCCCGGCTAATCACGTTGTGAAGTTCGACTTCCAGAATTAGGTCCATATTAAGTCATCGCGCCTGTTGGTTCCGTCTATGATACTTCTGATTCAGATCAACCAGCACATATCGAATACATCGGTGGTCTGTTCGGCATCGGTTTACTTCCAACCTCGCTTCTCAACCGAACTATGACAGATAACCTGGTCCTACTCGACATTTTGTACTCTGCACTAACCCATTCGAAGGCAATGCACGGTGCAGACCCGATCCGTACCACAAAGGTGGGTACGCTACATAGTAGGTCAGCAAGCGAGTACTTAGCACACTCGATAGTGCAAGGTTTTTTGTCAGCACCGGCCAGAATTGATCCAGTGCATATCCTCCATCGTCGACTCACTTGGCCCAAGTTTCAAACGGGAACTTACTGACCACTTCTTCCCATCGATATTCCCCGAACCACTACAACGGCTATGGGAGCCATACCATATGTACATACATTGTAAATAATCTCCTTTGAAATAAATAATATCATCCCTATTTATATCAGGAACCATAGTCAGAGAGTTCATTTGATGCCAGGGTGTCAGACTCCATGATAGTCAGACCGCTTGTTAGTCGAGAGGGTCAGACTCTATGTATGTATTGATATTATGAAGGAGTTTAGTTTAAGTTTTTAACACTAGGTGTCATACAATTTACAACAGTTTGTACACCACTGTAACAGTCTGACTGTATTACATCTATTGAAAAAAGAAATCATAGTATGAGGCACGAATAAAACACACTACTATCTATAAGGGCCGAAGCAGAATTTTAAGTTAGTCAGTACATGCCATTACAATAGTGCCTTTTGTATATAAGTAGAAGCAATACTATTGTGTGGCTCGACAGATTAACATAGGACCAACTCATTCATGGCGTTGTAGAATTAAGCTTGGTTAAACAATAAGAACGGGAACAACCGATTAATGCCGTTGATTAAAAATACATGCCTGCGAGGGCCAAGCAGAGGTTCTGCATCAGCATAGAGCTTGACTGGGCAGGAGAGCTGAAGAGTCTTATCAAAGACGCTTTCTCACTCACTCAGAAAGCAATTTTTTCTTCGAACGTCGAATCTTTTAAAGGGGTGTGAGGTCGAAGATGCCATTCAACCATGAACAGTATGGCGGGTGGTAGAGTCAGCAGGCAATGATCTCTGACGAGACTTAGGGGTAGGTAAGCCTGAGAGTTTGGTATAGAGAGTTGTAGAAATACGGCCTCCGGTCAGTCTAAAATATCAAGATCAATTGAGATAATGCATTGGTTTTTATTTGTATTTTAAATAAATTAAT